AACACTGCTACAGCACGGAAAGTGCGCCCGCCACTGGACCGATGCTTACCTGAGATCGACGCACGACTGGTAGACGGCACGCCGCTGGCAATACGGGAACGCGTAAGCCGAGTTCGGATTCGATGCGGGGGTAACTTCACGTTTAGCCAGGAAATGCTCGCAACGACCCTCGACGGAACCGACGTTTTACTCGGGCGTGATTGGCTGCGACGACACAATCCGCGAATCGACTGGACGACGGGGGACTGCACCGTGCGAGTGAACGGTAACAACATCGCCTTACCTCGCTGGGGATCGCCTGAGTCTTCGTCGGTGCGTGTCAATGCGATCACGATGAAACGCGCTGTAGCGGCCGGAGCTGACGTGTACGCGGTTGACATTCGGGAAGCCGATGCAGCAGACAAGGGAGGGGATTTACAGAAACTGCTGACCGACGTACCGAGTGATCTGGCAGCACTGTTAACACGATACAGTGACATTTTCCCGGATGACTTACCGACGGGACTGCCACCTCAGCGACCGCACGATCACAGGATAGAACTGGAACCGGGGGCACAGCCAACAGTACAGCGACAGTTCCGACTGACCCAACCCGAACTAGACGAACTAAGGAAGCAGCTCGATTACCTGCTCGAGAAAGAATTCATTCGCCCTAGCTCGTCGCCCTTCGCCGCACCAATACTGTTCACACCGAAAAAAGACGGGGGATTTCGCATGTGCATAGACTACAGAGCACTGAACAGGGTTACCATCAAATCTCGTTACCCCATCCCACGAGCTGACGAACTGATCGACCAACTGCGCACAGCCCGGGTTTTCTCGAAAATCGACCTCCGAGGAGGCTACCACCAGATCCGCGTCAACCCACCCGACTGCCCTAAAACAGCATTCCAAACACGCTACGGATCCTTCGAATACACCGTCATGCCATTCGGACTGACCAACGCCCCCGCCACTTTCCAAATGACCATGAACGAAGCATTCCGCCCACTTTTAGATAAGTGCGTCATCGTTTATCTGGACGACATACTGATTTACAGCCCTGACAGAGCACAGCACTTACAAGACATCGAAGCAGTTTTTAAAATCCTAAGTGAGAACCGCCTACTGACCAAAGCATCTAAGTGTGAGTTTTGACAGGACCGCCTGGAGTTTTTGGGACATGTTATTTCAGCTGCAGGAGTGGAAATAGACCCGAAGAAAATTGCGACGATTCAGGCTTGGCACGCGCCGACCAACTTGACCGAGTTGCAGAGTTTCCTGGGGCTCGTCAACTACGTGCGCCGGTTCGTCCCCGACATGGCGAAGCTGACTGCCCCGTTGACCGACCTGCTGAGGAAGGGGGTTGAGTACACGTGGGGGGAGAAAGAGCAAGCTGCCTTCTCAGCCCTCAAAAATATTTTGTGCTCCCCGCCCGTCCTTCACATTGCAGATCCGCAGCGTCCGTTCGAGCTCGTCACCGACGCAAGTGACATCGCTGTGGGAGCAGTACTGTTGCAGGACTTCGGGAACGGCCTCCAGCCAATCGCGTACGAGTCCCGCAAACTACACCCGCCCGAACGTAACTACCCGATACACGACCGCGAGATGCTAGCGATCGTGCACGCGTTCAAAGTTTGGCGATGTTACCTGACTGGCGCCGACGTGACAGTACGGACAGACCACCGCTCGCTACAGTACCTTCGCGCCCAACCGAATCTCAACCCACGACAGATTCGCTGGTTGGACTATCTCGAGTCCAATTTTCACTACACCGTTACGTACAAAAAAGGCGCATCCAACATCGCCGACGCTCTCACCCGCCCCACCGCCCAACTCCACGCCATCCTACTCGCCCAGACCAACCCGCTTTTAACTGGCCTATTCACCCACGGATACCGCACCGACCCATTTTTCACGACCGGAAATTCACAGCAACTGGCAGAAGCAAAAGGAGTTTATTACGTAAAAACAGGCACCAACCGCATTTGGGTACCCGCGTACTCACTACTGAGGGAGCTGCTACTGCAGGAGGCACACGACGGGATTACCTCGGGACATTTCGGGGTAGAAAAAACGCGACAGCAACTGCAGAGGTATTATTACTGGCCGGAGCTGTTGACCGACGTACAGCAGCACGTGGGCTCGTGCCCGACGTGTCAGGTGATGAAGAGTTCAAGGAAGCGGAAGGCGGGTCAATTGCAGCCGATCCCACCGCCCGAACGCGCCTGGCAGCAAGTAACCATGGACTTCGTCACAGGGTTACCTTCGAACCCTGGGGGTAACGACGCGGTGATGGTCGTCGTGGATAGGCTGACGAAGATGGCACACTTCGCTGCGTGCAAAAAGTCGATCTCAGCCGAGGAGACCGCTCGCCTGTTCATCGCAGCCGTTGTTCGCCTGCACGGGATACCAGCAGCAATTATCAGCGACAGGGACACGAAATTTACCAGCAACTTCTGGAAGAACCTCTGGGAGCAGTTCGGGACCAGGCTATAGTTCAGTTCGTCGTACCACCCCGAGACCGACGGCCAAACGGAACGGACGAATCAGACGATGGAGCAGCTGATTCGTGCCACGTGTGACGACCCCACGACCTGGGAGCAGCAGCTGCCGCTGATCGAGTTCGCGTACAACAACGCCACATCAGCCACGACGCAGCAGTCCCCGTTCTACCTGAACTATGGGCAAAACCCCACAGTGCCCATGACGCCGAGTCCGGACAACCCAACGCCACGTGCACAACAATTCGCCGAAGTCCTGCAAGCTGCCCGCGCCAGAGCCGCCGAAGCAATAAAAAAGGCCAACGTCATCGCTAAGCGCAACGCTGATCGCCACCGCCGTCCTGTCACGTACCAATCTGGAGATTACGTGCTGCTTGACACGCAAAATCTGCGACTGCCCGACGTACCAAAATTACGACCGCGCTACTGTGGACCATTCCAAATCAGTCACATGATCACACCCGTCACCGCGCACCTACTGTTGCCAACCGACTGGTACATCAGCCCTTCGTTCCACGTCAGCCTACTTCGCCCATACATCCCGACCACAAGTCAACTGCCGCGTCACCGGCCACAATCAATGACTCGCCCTGCATCAGAGCCGATCATCGAGCCCGAAAAAATTCTGAGCCATTGGATCCGCCACCCCACGGGAATCAGGAGGATTGAATTCCTCGTTCGCTGGAAAGACCGCACGCCAACTGAAGATAGCTGGGTGCCCCTGAGCAACATCGAAAATCACCCTGCCCTGCAAGTGTACCTGAGGAGCCGGGGATTCCGCGATATACACGCACTCGCGTAGCGGAGGGGGCTTCTTAAGGGGGGGGGTAGTGTAAGGAATTTTCTCGGCATTCCTTACGGAGCCGACTACATCGCGTACAGCAACAGCCGATTGTTCGCCCGTTACTGCTAACGGAACTTCGCCGACTTCGCGCGCACTGTTTTGCCAAACCTCGCACTGCTGGCATGGCCGTATCGGCCTACGCTTCGGGACTAGCCCGAGCCTCGTTCCAGCGTAGCACTAGCAAGCTCGCACGCACCGCGTTACCGTTTTGCATGTTTCGCGTATAAATGTTCGCTCATGCCTTCGCTCACATTTTGTACTCGTTTGACACCTTAGTGCAAATCTCGCTACCTCGATCCATTGCACCCGTAACACATATGCGATGTAGCCGGACTCCTTACACTAAAACATGATTGAAACCGCTGGACATGTGCGTTACTCCCGAAAAACATTCCACCAATCACAAAGCATCACCTGGGTCACGTTCTTCCAAACAGTCGGCAGTTCTGGTGTTTTTAGTGCGGGCAAGCCAATCGCGGCGCATAGCTTTTCCCGCCGCCATAGCGAGCAGCAATCAATCATTTGCACGCCTGCCAGCAAATGCTGCAGCATGTGAGAGGGTCAATTATTTTCTGCCCGTTTCTAATCTGCTGGCCTGAACGCCTGCCTTGCTGCTGCTGTAACAGGAACCTCTGGGCAGGCTGCATCTCTGAGGCACCGCAGAAAATCGTGCAGAAACGCACTGTAACCCTATCGCCTGGTATAACACCCATGATGAAATTGACTTCAGCTCAAATTCAAGATTTCCTGAATGGACTCAAAGATCAATGTGCACTCCCTCAGCTCCAACCGAAATCGGGAGTGAAAACCGCCACAGCGCACAGTACAGAACACTACAGTACCTCCAAGTAGGCCTCGCCTCCTCCACTCCACCTGTTCACCTCTCGTCCATGTCTCGTCTCCACCACACGCAGTTCATCTGAGATTAGGTCTTTCTCACTTCATTCGAATCAAAGCTGGTAGTTTGTATGGTCTTGTGGCATTAGCGATCGGGGATTGTACTCAGCAACGTCCATGCATGTTTAGGCATGTTTCGTACGCCGTCGCGCTCAGAATGTCGTCCAACCACACCGTCACGTCAGACGTCGACCGGTATTACAGACGGCCGGAAGTTTCCGGCAGACAGCGGGTTGCTGTCGTCAGATGACGAGGAGGCGCTCACTGGCTGGACCGACGGAAGTAGCCGACGACCTTTAGCGAGTAAAGCGTCAGGTCTTAAAGGGGAGGTAGAGCCGACGGTATCTGGCCGGATAGTCAAGGACGAGACAGCCAGAGAGAAAGGGGGAAGGAAGAAGGAGAAATCAGGACGCGATGGCGATGGAGGAAGTAAAGACGAGCGGAGGAAGGAGGGGAGGAGGAAGAAGTCGCGGTCATGGAGCGACATGTCCTTCGAAGGCGACGAGCGATTGCTCGCCGCTCACGATGATGGAAGCAACCGCGCCGCCGTGAAACCTTGGAATTCTGGGGAATCTCCCGAAGCGCGCGATGTCTTGTTCGTTTCCGACACGAGCGGTCTCGCTAGGGTTGACTCAGCAGGGTCGCCGTCGAACCTGGCGCAGTCGTGGTGGCGCGTGCCTCGGTCACACAGCCGAGCCGAGAGCACAGGCTCGGCGAGCTCCTCAATTCCCGGGCCTAGCTTTGTGGAAGTTCAGGGTCGCAAAAATGAGGATGAAATGGCGGTCGACCAATCAGGCGACGCCAGGTCATCGTCCCCCATCCCGCACATTGGCTTGCGAAAGCATGTAAAGAATCGACTATCCAGGATACTGGGACACGTGAAAGGGAAGTTTCTGGGTAATGGGGAAGAAGAGGAAAGGGCAGATGCTGGGGACGGGTGGGAGGAGGGGGAACGCGCAGGGAAAGGGCACGCGGAGGAGGGCGGGTGGGGAAGAGCGGGGGAGGGGGAGTGGGGGGAGAGCGAGGGGGACGGGGAGGGCAGCGAGAGCAGTTTCGTGCCTGGGAGCGAGGGGGGCAGCGTGGTGGTATGGAGCGAGTCAGGCACGGTGACCACAGGGGGCGCGTGGAGCGAGGCGGAGAGCGTGGTTATCCACCCCTCCCACAGCGCTGCTAATAGTGCAGCAGCGCGTGCCTCGAAGCAGCAGCAGCAAGGGCGCGTTGGGGGGCGTGCGGGGGAAGAGCAGGGCCAGAGCAGCAGGGGAAATGCGCGGGGGAGCGGGTGGAGAGGCGGAGAGGAAGCGGAAGAGGAGGGAGCACGCGCGCAGGTCCCTGTGCGCAAAACTGCCGCGGACTGGTTTGATGATGACGAGGATGACGAGTGGGGGCTCGCCGGCGAGGCGAGGCGGGAAGACTCTGAGAGGGGGGCGGGGAGCGCAGGTGGGAGTGGCAGCTGGGGTAGGAGTGGGAACGAGCAGCAGCGCGCGCATGGCGGGGGGAGGGGCGCAGGGGGGTTGACACGCAAGCCCGTTGACCTGGTGGGGGCGGACGAGGTTGATGATAGTAGTGAGAGCGGTTCTAGCGAGGGGGAGACGGAGGAGGAGAGGCGGCGGAGAGAGGAGGTGCTGCGCAGGCGGAGGGCGCAGGTGGAGGGGGCGCGCGGGGGACGGGGGTCTGCGCAGAGTGGCAGTGGGTGGGGTGGGGGGAAGAGTGAGGAGAGAGGGAGTGGGAAGGAGAGGGGGAGTGGTAAAGAGAGGGGGAGTGGGAAGGAGAGAGGGAGCGGGAGGGAGAGAAGGAGTGGAAGGGAAAAGGGGAGTGGGAAGGAGAGAGGAAGTGGGAGGGAGAGAGCTACAGCAAGCAAACAAGATGCGAGTGAGGCTTATGTGCAAGGGGACAGCGCCAGACGAGCAGCAGGCGCAGCAGCCGCATGGGAGAGGATTGTTGGGAAGAACTCAGGCCCTTCCCCTGCTGCACCTACTCATGCCCCTGCTGCCCCTGCTGTTTCTGCCCCTGCTGCATCTACCCCTGTCGCGTCCGCCCCTGGTACACCCACCTCAAAAGCCACCACCCCCCTGGCATCCTCAGCCCTGCCTGACTTCGACTCGCTCAGCGACACCAGCAGCAGCAACAGCGACAGAAGCCGCAGCCACGTCAGCGGCAGCAAGAGCAGTCATCAGGGCAGAGGCAACGGCAAGGGCAAGGGCAAGGGCAGGGTGTCGATGGTACCACGCTCCTTCCCCATGAGTCTGAGCACCACGGAGCACGGCTTTCTCTCCAGCCCTGAGTACGATGAAGCCCTGGGCAGTGGCCAAGCGCCCTCCATGCTTCCCAAGTCCTTCCTCCCCCCATCCCGCAGCCTCACTACTGCTGGTGAAGCCGCTGCTGCCGGTGCTGCCGGGGGCAGCAGCTGGACTTCTAGCCTCGGCGCCCCTGCGTCTGCTGCCAGCCCTGCTGGAGGCTCGGGGATAGGCTCGGGGATAGGGTCTGGTGCGGGTCTGGGGTCGTGGAAGAGCATGAAGCGCAGGCTCGGCCGGGCCACGAGCGTGGGCTCGGTGCAGACGGATATGGACGGGTGGTGGAGTGAGGATGGGTGGAGCGAGATGGGGAGGGGTGATGGGCGGGACGAGGTGGGCAGCTGGTGGGACGAGGAGAGTGTGATGAGCAGCTTCAGGGGGGAGAGGGGGGGCGGTGGAGGGGGAACAGGGGGGTGGATGCGGAGTCTGTCTCGGGGGAGCATTGGAGGGGGAGGGGAGTGGGGGGAAAGCGGGAGTGTCCCCGGCACACCATCCTCTGGGCGGCCCAAGACTGCAGACCCCGCATTCGGCCGCAGTGGGCTGGGACGCCTGAATTCCGGCGAGGGATTGGCAGCAGGGGGGGGAGTTGGGGGGGATGGCGCGGGCGCGGAAGGGGGCGGAGGGGAGGCGGACGTGAGGGCATCGAGCTCGTTTCTGGTGAACTGGCGGCGCAAGCGGCGGCAGCTGCAGCAGGAGCAGGCACGGATGCAGGACGCTCTCGCAGCAGGGGGAGGGGTGGGCCGCCCAGAGCGAGGGTCCAGGAGGTTCGGCGCCACCGCCAAGCCTCTGGTTCGGATCCGAGGCTCGGGGGTAGGTTCGATGGGGGGGGTGGACGGGGGAAAGGGGTTGGAGCGGGTGGTTGAGAGGCGTGGGGAGGGGGGATGGTCAGAATCATGCAGCAGTGGGAGTGGTGGCGGTAGTGCCAACAGCAGTGGGCGGAGGGTGGGGGAGGCTGACAGCCAAAGCAGCAGCAGGCGAGGGAATGGTGTTGGGAGCTCTGCCCTTGCTGCTCCCGGTCCCTTACGTACTGCTACTGCTGCTTCTGCTGCTGCTGCTGCTGCTGCTGCTGCGAGTGGTTCTGCTGGTGGTGCTGGTGGTAGTGGCAGGGGCATGGGCAGCAGTGGGGCTGCGGGGGGAAGGGCGCTGGTGAAGCATGCGAGCTGGCAGCAGGAGAGGGTGAGCAGGCAGGGCAGCCCCTGGGGGTCCAGGGGAGCAGGCGCCGGGGCAGGCGTGCTGCAGCAGTCCGTGGGGCAGGGGGGCCGTGGGGGCGAGGGGGGACGCGAGGGGGGTGATGCTAGGGCTAGGGCGGGAGATGGTGGTGGGAGGGGCGTGGGAGGGCGGCAGTTTGTGCGGCACTTGAGTCTGCAGGAGCGGGGCAGTGGAGGTGCGGGGGGCATGGAGGGCAGGGGTGTGGAGGGAGGAAGGCGGGCAGTGGGAGGAGGAGGGGGAGGAGGAGGGCTAGGAGGGTTGTTGCCTGGCAGGCCTGGTTTGCCCCCTTCAGGTTCAACTTCAAGCCGAAGCATTGGCAAGGCAGCACCTGCCCTCAGCCCCACCGGCCCAACGCACATTGCTGCCGCTACCACCACCAGCATTGACAGGAGCAGCAGCAGCCGGTCAGGGCGGGTTTTCCAGAAGAATCTGAGCCTTCCAGAAGAAAGGATCTCCCGACGGAGCAGTGGCCACTGGGACGCCGCCACATCAGCAGCGGGGAGCGACTCAAACCCCAGGACCCCTCCACCAGCCAGTCCAGGTGGCCGCTCCCCATTGGCTGGCAGGGGTCTGGGCGCAGCTGGGAGGGGGGGAAGCAGGGATTGGGGGTCAGGACGAGCAGGGGCGCCTGAGGCAGCCGGGGGAGCAACAGGGGAGCGGCGGTTTGTGCGGCACCTTAGTCTGCAGGAGGAGGGGGGGGGCCGCCATAGGAAGAGCTTCAGTCAGTGGTCCATAGGCCTGGGCCTCGCCGCTGCTGCTACTTCGCCTGCAACGCCAGGCTCGGCAGGAGGCTCGGAACGTAGGTCCGGGCTGGGTGGTTCGGAGAGGCGGTTGGCTCGGAGGATGAGTCTGGGAGGTGGGGAGGTTTTCAGTGCTAGCGAGTTGGGGATAGCCGTGGAGCGGCGGGAGGGGTGGCGCGAGGGTGTGGGGGGACTGCTGAGAAAGGTGGCAGGGGGTAGCAAGGACGAGAGCACAGCAGGTGCTGCTGCTGCTGCAGGGGCTGGTGGGAGGCGCAGTGGCGGTGTGGGGGGGCAGCAGCAGAGCAATCTGGCAGGGGGAAGTGGGGCGGAGGCAGGAGAGAGGGGCGCAGGGGGAGGAGGGGAGGCGAGGGCGGAGAGGCGGGCACGGTACGCCCTGAGGGGCGTGCAGGGCAGCCGGCTGCGGGAGCGCGCGTTCCGACAGCGATGGGGCGCCGGTGGGGCGACGCCTGTTGTGGAGGAGGGCGAGGAGGAAGGCGAGGAGGAAGGCGAGGAGAGTGAGGGGAGCGCGGCAAGCGAGGGGAGGGTGGCGGATGGGGAGGGGAGGAGAGGGCGGAGTGAGGTGGAAAGGAGGGCGGAGGGCAAAGGGGAGAGGGGGGACATTGGGGAGAGGGGGGACATTGGGGAGAGGGGGGACATTGGGGAGAGGGGGGACATTGGGGAGAGGGGGGACATTGGGGAGAGGGGGGACATTGGGGAGAGGGGGGACATTGGGGAGAGGAACGGAGAGCGGAAGAGTGAGGTGAATGGGGAGAGGAAAGGGGAGGGGAATGTGGTGGAAACGGAGGAGAACAAAGGGGAGGGAAAGGGCGACGGAAGGATGGAAGAGATGGAGGTGAAGAAGGAACAGGGGCTGCAAAGTGTCTCGGACATGAGGAGGAGGAGTTTTGGCGAGGATTCAAATGGGAGCCGTCTCTTCCATGAGAGTCGTGAACGAATGAGAGGAGGTGAAGATGCGGAAGGGACATGCCGCAAGGTAGAGCAGGAGGCGGGGAGAATGAGTGGCGGAACGAGAGAGGAGAGTGGCTGTGGCGGGGGCGAGGACAGCAGAGAGGTCCGAGGGAGGAATGAGGAGGGTGTGGGCGGAGGAGGGGAGAGGGACGGGCAGAGCACAGCTAGGGATGCTGAAGCAGGGAACGGGAGCAGTGATGGGGGCGGTGGTGGGAGTGGTGGTGGGGGCAGTGAGAGGGGACGTGAATTGCCATGGAAATCAGGCTGGCAGAAGCAGGCGGGGCAACTGATGTGGGTGTATGAGGCGCGTGGGGTAGAGAAGGAGATGGGCCATGCGGTGAGGGCGGAGGAGCAGTTTCAGAGACACATGCATGGTGAGATGCAGGGGCAGCGGAAGGAGCAGGAAAGGGAAGTGAAGGAGAAGGAGAAAGAGAGGGTGCGGGAGAGGGAGCGGGAGTGGGAGCAGGGGAGGGAGCAGGAGAGGGAGAAGGAGAAGGAGAAGGAGAAGCGGCAGGAGAGAGAAAAGGAGCAGCATGAGGTGCAGAGGAAGCATGGTCAGGGCGGGGCAGGGCAGGAGTTGGTGCATGCAGGGGGGGTTGGGAAGGAGGGCAGGGTGGTTGTGGGTGCAGGTGCAGGCAGCAGACGGCTGTTGACCCGCAGCTCCAGTGTGCCTCATCCTGCTGCCCTTGCTCTGCCCCACCCGCATCCTGCTCCTGCTGCCTCCCTTCTCTCGGACCCATCACGCTCTAGCTCACAGCATCAACAGCTCCAGTCCCCGCACCACTTACCGCAGTCCCCGAACCACCAGCACCGCCAGCCCGGTCGACCCAGAGGCCTCGTGAAGACTCTCAGCCTGCCGCCCTCTGCGCTCTCCGCTGCTGCTTCTGCCTCTGGTGTTCACACTGTTGCACCTGGAGGGCCTACTTCTCCACTGCACCTTTCCTCCCTGGCACCATGCTCCGTTCTACCCGCTCTGCACCCCTCTTCCCCCGCGCTGCGCCCCTCTTCCCCCTCACTGCGCCCCTCTTCCCCCTCACTGCGCCCCTCTTCCCCCTCACTGCACCCCTCTTCCCCCTCACTGCGCCCCTCTTCCCCCTCACTGCGCCCCTCGTCCCCCTCACTGCGCCCCTCTTCCCCCTCACTGCGCCCCTCTTCCCCCTCACTCCTCCCCTCCTCCCCCTCACTGCGCCCCTCTTCCCCCTCACTACGCCTGCGCCCCTCATCCCCCACTCCCATACCCAATGGGGGAAGTGGTGTGAGGCGGGCAGGGGCACGAGCATCTGAGCGCCCCTCAACCGCTCCATTACAGTGCTCCTCCACTGCCCCTCAGGAGCGCCCCTCAACCGCTCCATTACAGTGCTCCTCCACTGCCCCTCAGGAGCGCCCCTCAACCGCTCCATTACAGTGCTCCTCCACTGCCCCTCAGGAGCGCCCCTCAACCGCTCCATTACAGTGCTCCTCCACTGCCCCTCAGGAGCGCCCCTCCGTGACCCCAATGCAGCGCCCGTCCTCCCCTCAGCCTGCACTGCACAAGGCAGCAGGAGCAAGGGCGTCTGATCAACGCAGCACATATGCAGCCGCCCGTTCAGCCCATGCACCTGTCCCCCACCCTGTCCCCCACTATGTCACACACCCTTCCTCTGCTGCCCACCTTTCACCTTCTCTTGACTCTTCCCCTGCCCTTGACCCGTCCCTTGCCACGCCAATGGCGCAGCAGCCAATGGGCAGGGCGGGGTGTGAGATGGGTGGGGCCCTGGACGCACGCAGTGTGGGCGCGGGAGGAAGGGGGGGAGGGGCGGGCAGTGGGCGCAGCAGTGAGGAGCATGGGAGTGGCAGGTCGAGCGGGAGTGTGGGTGGGAGTGGGAGGTCAACCGGCAGTGCAGGTGGGAGTGGGAGGGCCAGCGGCAATGTGGTTCGGCGCAGGAGAGCAAGTGGGAGTGCGGAGAGCGAAGCGAGTGGCGTGCTGTTGAGCGCAGATGAGGCCGAGGGTGGGGGCGCAGGTGGTACCAGAGGAGAGGAGCGGCAGCGGGAGTGGAATGCAGGGGGAGAGAAGACGAAGAAGGGGAAGGAGAGGGGGGTTGGGAAGAAGGGAGGGCAGAGGAGGAAGGTGCACGAGGAGGGGGTGGAGGAAGAGAAGGGGGAGCGGAATCCTCGGGACGGGGGCAAGGAGGAAGCGGAAGAGGTGGGGGCTGAGAGGGTGGTACGAGAAGGGGAGGAGTGTGGAGAGCACGGGGGGCAGCATAAGAAGCAAGCGAGGAGTTCAGATGGCTGTGCGCACGGTGAGGTGAGCAGGAGTGCAGGCTCATCCAAGAAGAAAAGACACGATGAGCAGCACACAAAGGGTCTTGAGAGGTCTGGAAGCAAGGAGAGCAGCCGGGACGAGAAGGGCCGTGAGAAAGGTCATGCAGTGGAGCATGGGGAGGGGAGGGAGCAGGAGGTTCTGACCCCGAAGCATCCAGAAAAGAGTCCGAGGAAAGCAGGGAAGGCATCTAAGATCCCGAAGGGTGCAGCAGCTGTGAAGAGCCCAAAGAGGTCAAAGAAGAGCCCACGAGGGGTGGAGAAGCAGCATGGAAGGCACAAGGACAAAGACGAGGAGGGATTACCTGTGGAGGTGGTGGGGGATGGCGCAGCAGTGTGTGAAGCGGTTGAGATGGGTGCAGTGGGGCATGGGGTGCAAGTGAAGGGTGGAGCGCAGGAGCATGCGAGTATTGAGGGAAACACGATTGAAGGGAAGGAGGAGAGCGGGGCGGGGGAACGAGAGCAGAGGGACTTGGGTAAGGTGGAGGTGGAGGGTGACAGTGGGAAGAGGGAACGGGACAAGAAGCAGCGGAAGGAGAAGCGGCACAGTAGGGAGGAGAAGCGAAAGCATGGGGGTGAGATGGGGGAGGGTGAAGCGGAGAAGGGGAAGCACGGGGGGAAGAAAGAGGGGAAGCAAGGTAACGAGGGGCGAACGAGGGGAGAGAATGCAGGAAAGAAGGGAAGCCATGAGGAGAAGCAAGGGGAGCATGGTGACAGGAAGGGTCATGGGAAGAAGAAAGATGGGGAGCATAGGGAAAAGAAGGGGAAGCATAGGGAGGAGAAAGGGAAGCAGAAGCAGGGGAGTGAGCATGGGGAAGCATCTTGTGAGGCTGGCGGTGGTGTCAAGGCAGAAAGGGAGGCGGGCAGGAGGGAAGGGGGAGCGAGGCGAGGGAGGGAAAAGGAGAAGCGGAGGAAGAGCAGCAGTGGGTCAGACTCCGTGCTCTCACATGCCCATGCCCCCCTGGCCTCACCCCTGGACCACTCCTTGCCTCCCACCCCTACTGCTGCTGGTGTTACTGCTGCTGCGGCTGAGGCCACGCCATGCCACACGGGTTCCAGCAGCTGTGCGTCCTCCTCAGACTTGAGTCTGGACCTGCATGCCCATCCGCACGCGCCCATGCATGCTGCCCTGCATGCGCCCCTTGATGTGGCACATCCCCTCATACACACTTCTGCTGCAGCACCCATCCATGCCACACCTCCCCCTGCGCCCGGCACTGCATGCCAAAACGGGACAGCTGGCACTCGTGATGATGGTGGCAATGGTGGCGATGGCACTGACTCGCAGCAGCACGCGCAGGCAGCTTCACACTTGGAGGAGCAGCTTGTTGATCGGAACAGCACCGCTGTTGCCGGTGCTGCTGGTGGTGCTGCCGTAGTGGCTGCTGATGAGCATGGAGGTGCGTGCCTGGAAGGCAGCTCGGGAGTGCAGACATTAGGACAGCAGGGGTGGGTGCACGATGGTGGGGATGCACTGCTGTGTGGCGATGGGGAGGAGAGGGGAGATGGAGAGGAGCAAGGGGAAAGCGGGGAGGAGGAGGAGGACAAGGTGGAGGTGGAGGAGGAGTTGGAGGAGGGGGAGGTAGGGGAAGAAGGGGAGGACGTTGAAGATGGAAAGGAAGGGGAAGAGGGGGAGGAGGGGGAGGAGGAGGAGGGGGAGGAGGAGGAGGGGGAGGAGGGCGAGGAAGTGAGGTGGGTGGAGGTGTATGGCATGGTAGCTGTGGAGGATGAGGTGCTGCTGGTGGGGGTGGAAGCACATGAGGCGAGCTGTGATGCAATTGGTGGCACTAACGAGGATGCACCCCAGGACCAGCTGACTGACCAGCAGACGCACGCAGAGCAGCAGCAGCAGCAGCAGCAGCAAGAGCAGGAGGAATTGGAGCAAGAGGCGCAAGAGGAGAAAGAGCCGCAGATGGGTTTCCTACGGATTGAGGGGTCTGAGCATGCTGAGGAGGGTCGAGAGAAGGAATTAGCCGCAGCAGCTGTGTGTCAGGGCTTGCAGGCAGAAGCAGCCACTGTGGCAGATGATGACGTGGCAGGCGCTGGTGGGACAGGTGGTGATGTGGCAGGCGAGGCTGGTGCCATGACAGAGGCTGTGGTGGATGGAGCATCAGCAGACGCTGCAAGGAATATCAGCCGAGAGGCATCTCAGCGTGCTACCAGCCACAAGGAGAGTCGCAGCGGCAGCGAAGCAAGCAGGGAGGATGGCGAGAGTGGTTCGGAGGAGGAGCAAGGGGCTGTGAGCGCAAGCAATGAGGGCGAGGGGCAGGGCCGCAGGGCAGCGCTGCACTCACCTCTGCACCTGGGGTCGTTCAAGCTGACTGCATGGAGCCCTGGCAGTGCTGCACTCGAGGGTAGCAGAGGGGACAGCATAGGCGCTGCCATCAAGGGCACGGAGGAGCAGAGGAGCTTCCGCTTCCACCCCGCCAGCTCTCTTGTCATCCACGTGCCCCGCACCGCGTCCCCCTCGCCCCCCCACTCCCCCGCCTCCTCCTCACCCTCCTCCTCCGCCCTTACTCCCGCTCCAGCCACCCCCACGGCCCCTCTCACGCCCTCCACGCCTCTCACCCCTTCCACCCCTCTCACCCCTCGTCGCAGCATCTTCACGCCTCGCTCGCTGCTCTCTGCGTCGCTTGGGGCGTTTACTGGTAGCGCAGGCAGTGGCAGTGGCAACGGCCTGGGAAAGGGGCGAGCAGGCAGCAGCACCGCTGGCAAGAGTCCCTTTTTCCTCTCCCACTCGTCCCAGCCACACCACCACCAGCAGCAACAGCAGAAGCACGAGCAGGAGCACAATGAGGATCAGGAACAGCATATGTATTCAGACGAGTTGCATGCGACCAATGCTCCCCCCTCCTGCTCGCCTCGCCTCGCCTTCTCCCGCCCCTCCGCCCGGCCCTCGCTCTCCGCCCTCTCCTCCTTCTCCTCCTTGCTTGCATCACCCCGCACGCCCTCAGGGGGAACTCCCAGCAGGGCTGGAGACAGCTGGTTCAGGAGCAGCAGTGCCACCAGTGCTGCCACTTCTGTCAGCGCTTCTGCTGCTGCTGCAGGTTCATCTGGCGCTGGTGCAGCAGGTGGAACTGGGGGAGGTCGTACTCGTGGCTTTGGTGGTGGCAGCTGGATTGAGGGGAGGAAACCAAGGAGCGAGCATTACTTGAAGGAGCAGCAGCAGCAGCAGAAGCAGCAGCAGAAGGAGGAAGAGGAACGGGGGAAGGTGAAGGCAAAGGCGAAGGGGAAGGGGCAGAGGCAGGGCGAGCAGCAGCGGCCGAGAACAGCCTCTGCAGCAATAGGGCGGGCAAAGGGGCGGCTGGGGCAGTCAGGGACAGCCAGCAGTGGCAGCAGCGGTAATAGTGGTGTCACAGCCACACATTCGAAGGGCAGCACTGGTGGCGTTCCTAGCCCCAAACTCCCTTTTGCCGATGATCCCATTGCTCTTGACAGTTCTTCCACCATCAGCCATTCGGCCAATCCCGTTACTCGACCGCGTGCCTCCTCTCTTGCTGCTGCGGCTGCAGCCGCTCCTGCTGCTGGCGCCTCTAGTGCTGCAGCTGCGCGTAATGCTGGTGGTGTCACTCTTCACAGTAAATCCTGTCCCAGTCCCACCTCCCCGCCCTCCATGGCCCTCCCGACCACCCCGACAAGCAGGAAGAAATACACCCTCATCGACCCTCCTGCGCACAGAAAGCGTAACGAGGCAGATAATAACGAGGACAAGAGCAGCAGCAGTGGCAGTGGCAGCGGGCAGGCACGCCGGCACTCGATGCCGTTTGACTTTGCTCCCAGTGATTCTTTACGGTCCTCTGCCTCTGATGGGGGCAGTGCAAGGGAGATAGCCAAGCAGGGCAGCAGCAAGAGCAGCAGAGAGGGTGTCAACCGGCAGTGGGAGGTGCGTGGGAGTGAAGAAGAGGCGAGTGCTAACAGCAACAGCAACAGCATCAACAGTAGGAGCAGCGGAAGCAGTAAAAACAGGATCAGTGGCACCGAGGGTGCTGGCAGCACGGCCACAGGCATCAGCAGCAGTAGCAGCAGTGCAGGAGGGCTCTCATCCACTGTGACCTCCGCCACTAGCAGCAACGCCAGCAGCAGCATCAACAGCAGCAGTGGTGGCGAGCAGGGGACGTCCAGAGGAGGCACAGGCAGCCAGGCGACTGCTAGGAAGGAGGGCAGACAGGGGCAGCAAGGAGGAATGGTAGCTGGTTCTGAGGGAGCATCAGGTGGTGCTGACGGCAAGAGTGACAGAGCAGCGGCAGCAGGAGCTAAGGGAAAACTGCCGTCATTGCTTGAGAGGCTGGTGATAGGTCGGTAGGAGTAGTGGAGTAGGAGAAGCATGATGCACGACATGCCATGACGGTGCTCTTTGCTCTTAGGGTGACGTCACTCTCATCCCTTCCATGTGGGACCTCACCTCTGAAGAGCATTAGGTGCCGTAGCTGTGTTTATCTGGTTATGTTACCGTATTGCATTGCAGTTTGTCTGACCAAAGGTGTGTTTTCTGTGCTGCTGTAGAAAGAATGGACGATTGACTAACACTGTGTCACGTTCAAAGCATACCGTGCTAAGCAATTGGCTTTTCTCAAGCAATCATATCGTAATTCCTTGGATATGTACCGTACTTCCTGTTCCTGCACTGCACCCTTCTCGTCTCGGCACTTCTTGAAAAGTCTGCACACTAAACGACAAGTTCCTCACATTGGGCCATCCCTGCTAGGAAGATACGGTAGCGGTAGCAGAACACGAATTCCACTAGCAAAGAAAACAAACAAACAAGCCGTCAAACTCAACAGGCCTAGGGTCCTATGTACAGAAAACAACTTCTGCCTACAGCCTGAGAATCCTGCAAACCACACCACTGAACCCACACCCATTCCATCCAACATGCATGCACTTCATCGTACGGTTCTCCCAGCCCACCTATGTACACGGCATGATCTCTGAACCAACTGTGCACCCTCTACCCTCATCTGTCCCTTCTTCTCTTTGTTATTGTGCTTCCCACTGGCACTCTCCTTCCTGCGGTTCGCTCACATGACGCATGGCGACTCCTCAGCTCCCTCACGGCTTCTGCATGCCTCAACAAGGTTCACACCCAATCCTCGCCTTACCCGAGCTGCTTCACAGTGTTTCCAAGCCATCAACTCCCGAACCTCTTTGTCTTGCTTAACACTTCTTCGGTACTCTGCCACTGTGCTACAGTGCCACTAGTCTCCTCATCCCTGTTACACTTATCGCTAACTCCTTATGTACGATTGTTGACACCCTTCAGAAGTTTCCTAAACCCTGCACACAACCCCCATTCTTGCGCTAGATTCTAGTGCTGGCTTTGCTGCAGGCAGTGCTGCTAGCGGTGCTGTTGGCAGTGCTGCTGGTGGTACTGCTGGCGGTGCCGCTGGCGGTGCTGCTGGCGGTGCTGCTGGCGGTGCTGCTGGCGGTGCTGCTGGCGGTGCTGCTGGCGGTGCTGCTGGCGGTGCTGCTGGCAGTGCTGCTGGCGGTGCTGCTGGCGGTGCTGCTGGCGGTGCTGCTGGCGGTGCTGCTGGCAGTGCTGCTGGCGGTGCTGCTGGCGGTGCGGCTGGTGCACGGGCTGTTGATACTGCTGCAGCTGGACCTGCTTTAAGTGGTCAAGCCCCTCCCGCCCCTTCCAACTCCCAATCTCCTCTCCCCCCTCCCCTCTCCTCTCTCCCTTCCCCCCTCTCTCGACTTCCCTCTCCGGTCATCTCATCCCCACGTCTTGTCACAGTTGTGGCTGGTGTGGTGGAAGGGGCAGGCCTTGCTCCTGCTGTTGCTGCTGCCACTATGGCCGCTTCTGCTGTTGGTGCCACTGCAGAAGCACCTGGTGTACGGGAAGTGGTAGGGATGGCAGCTGCAGCTGCTGTCACTTCTGTTCTTGGTTCTTTTGCACTTCCCGCTGCACTTGCTTCTTCTGGGGGGTCAACTTCGTCCGCTGAGTTCCTCTTGCCCGATTCTTGCGAAATCTGAAGAGAGGGTGGGAATAGAGGGAAGGGAGGAAATGACAATAAGAGAGAACTAAGTATCTTCGCACTGACGAAAGATCACCCGGTGCTGTCAGGCTCATGCCAAGCGGTGAGGTGCTTAGTAGCGCGCGGAGGTGCATGGCGGTGCTCAGGGCTGCGAATCGGAGAGGTGCGTGGCAGAGCGGGTCGGCGCAAGCTCACGTGCGGTGGTGCGAGCGACGCGGTGCAGGGTGGTGTGTGACGGTGCGTAGCGGCGAAAGACGGTCTGAGGCGGTGCGAGAGGTACGAGGCAGTGCGGTACATGGAGGTACGACGCGCTCCCTTACCTGGCCTCGTGTTCGTCGCATTTTCTCGGCTTCACGCAGTGCAGAGTTCAAGTCCTTGTTCTGGAGCAAAGAGAAGAGTAGGGGAAACATGGGTACTTCTCATGCTCTCATTTCTCTCACGTTTGGCAACAACGGCCGCACCACCGCATGTCCGCTCGTTTCGTCCAGTGTATTTTGTTGCCGGCCATCCAAAGAGAGGATCTCGCACGGCCATGTGCCGTAGTTGCCAAGCTTAGCCCACACTACATCCTCCACTCTGAACGGTTGAGGAGAGCGCGACATTGGCAGGGGTGAAAGCGTGATGAGGGTGAAGCGGAACGGGATCAAGCGGACCGGGAAGAGCGGAATTCCACACTAGTAAGTGCAGCTAAAATTATAGATGAAGAGAATTTAAATCAGTCCCACGAAACATCGGCGCCAAGGCCTGTGCTCTGACGCGCACGTGGCGTGGCAATCCTGCCTACTTCCTTTCTGCTGAACAATCTCCACGCGGAAGGAGCAGATCACTCTAGCGCCGATTAATTGGACGTCTGCCGAAAGAAAACAAAAAGGAGAGGTCCTCCTTGTTTTGGACCGCGCGCTCCCGAAAGGGTTTGGACACAGGCGTTTGGTCTCTGGAGGGATGGCCGGTGGCTGCACAAAAAGCGACCGTGTGAGCTAGAATCGTCGGATCGGTTTCTTACAACAGATCTAGGGATCAGATCAATCGAGTGGACGTTGTCGACAGGCGGGAAAAGCAAACCGTCCGACTATTCGAAACAGAACACACCGACTCGCGTGGGATTCCTGGCAGATGCATAAACTGGAAGGGACTACGCTGTGATGGAGTCGGGGTTGGATTGACTTCCCTGCTCTCTCTGCCTCTCTTGGAGTCAGGGTGAGGTAAGGACGGGGTGTTGAAGAGATAAACGAAATGGTTCAGCGAACTAATTCTTGGAAGGACGAATTTGTCGAAGGCGGATATATTGTAACGAGGATAGTTGCGCTTTTCCGACTGGATGTGGGCCTGGAGGGGCTCAGATCGAACGTGGCGCGTCTGACATTCTGAGCTTTTCTTCACCATACCGTTTCGCAAAACGAAGGGATGTGATGTGGATTTGCTAGCGGGTTCGCGAAATCTGGTATTCCGTATGTTTCTAACGAGTACCTGAACTGCTGAACCAGAGCTGGTACCTCGAACCCAACAAACGCGAAATCTACAAACAAGCAAATCTTCACTGGAAAAAAATACATGTTTTGTACAATACTGATAAGTGGGACCTAGCAAACTTGGAGTGATTCTCAGGAATCATTGACTTTACCACCAAAAGATCATTACAAGTGTGGTTATAAAAAAGTATGACTGAAAACTACGGTCCCCATTGTTCTTCCATATTTGTCGCCAAAATCAGGCGTCATGGGATCAAATTACAAGGCATACACCTCAGCTCCTGCAGCCCTCTACAATCGGCTTTCCTCCCCATGTAGTATTCCTTGCCTTCCATCATTCTCCACTTGCCTCCAGCGATTTTGCAGCTGGCATGATGCCATGCCACACAATGGCACACCATACTTTGCCACACCATGCCATGGCATCACACACCATATCATGGCACACCTGACATGCCACACAATGGCAAACCACACATGCCACAGCATGGAATGTCAAACCATACCATCCCACAACATAGCAGAACCCAAACCTTGGCATGGGACGCCACACTATGCCATGCCACACCATGACATGGCACACTAAGACATGCCACACTAAGACGTGGCACACTATGACATGGCACACTATGACAGAGCAAACCATGACATAGCACACTACGACAATCATACACCATATAATAACATACCTTACAAATACATACCACACGGTAACATATCACACAATAACAAACCACATAGTAAAATACCACACAATAACATACCACAGTAACATACCCCCACCACAACTTACCAACGTGTCAGACAATGACATGCCAGACAATGACATGCCAGACAATGACACATGACCACAATACTACCACATACCACACGATTATGCCAGACTGTGATGTACAACAGTACCACATAGCACACTATGGGATCCATAGTAGTAACATGCCGTAGTAAGCTGCCATGCCCTTTCTTACATTCCAGATTGCGGCATGCCACGATGTTGGATACCACGCCATGATATGCCAGTGCCCCATACCACACTATCACACATCACAGTGCCACGCTGCACACCATCACATGCCATACTATCACAGACGACATTATCACACACCTCACTATCATATGCCACGCTATCATACAGCACACCATCATACACCACACCATCATACACCACACTATCATACACCACTGTATCATACACCACACTATCATACACCACACTATCATACACCACTGTATCATACACCACACTATCATACACCACACTATCATACACCACACTATCATACACCACACCATCATACACCACACTATCATACACCACACTATCATACACCACACAGTACCATACCACAGAGTAACATGCCACACAGTAACATACCACACAGTAACATGCCACACAGTAACAAACCCCTCCCCACCTTCACTGCCCCACACCACTTCACACCAAACACCCACCACAACTTACCAGCCCATCCCCCAGCAGAAGGAGCAGCAGACAGCCCACTCCCTTTTGGAAACAACACCCCAGTGGCTATGGCATGCGAGGGAGGTGTGGTAGTGGAAAAGCATGATCTGGCCCAAGACTCAAATCCCACCCCTGACGTAGCTAGAGCTGACGCGAACCAGAGCCGCCGGCCGGTCGGCTCTGACGGTGTCCATTAAGCTTTGAACGCCAGATCGGTTACTAGAGCACCGAGTGCCGCCGCCGCGCAGATTCCACCCACCACACCCTACCCACAAGCCACAACCCCAGAGGGTGCCGCCCCTGAGAGAGTGTGCTGCCCGCTTGCTCCCATGCTGCCCCTCCACCCGCCCACCTCCCCCCCTCCCTTCACCCCATGTCTGCTTACCTCTACATACCTGTACTGTACCTACCAGAGCCGTGCAGTGCCATGATGCCCGAGGCTGCTGGGAAGTGGGGAGGGGGGGATTAAGAGAGGGTGGGACTCCACTGTGGTCCAGCCAGGGTGCTGTTGGGTGGGAGGGAGGAGAGAGAGAGAAGAGGAGGTGAGTGAGAGGGTTGACTCCACACTCCGCCCTTGCTCCAGTGCTCCCACCCTCAGGCTGTGGGAGAGATGGGGAGAGAAGAAAGGAGGGGATCAGAATACCTGACCTGTAACCATACCTTACCTGTTACCACACCTTGCATACCATGACTCGACCTAGCCTATCCTGTCCCCCTAGCCCCCCAACCCCATTCTGCTGCTACCGCTGCTGCTGCTCCGCTTCTGCTGCTGCAACTGCTGCTGCCGGTCTGCTTCTCAGCTGCATTCTTCGATAGTGATGCCATGTGACCTGGTGGCGGGCAGAAAGGAGGAGAGAGACGCAAAAACTGAGGTGTGGCGTGACAAGAGCTGTGGTGCGTTTCGGAATGCACAAAGAATGAACCAGGAAGATGTAGAAATGACAAGTCAGAAGCGTTGATGCTAAGAATGAAGAGAAACATGCAGCAGAAAACGAACTTGAGGGAGTTGGAGGGTAAGAAGGTTAACATACCTTGAGAGGCCGAGCCCACCCCGATACTCTCCCTTGTGGCAGCGATTGCCATCTGCTGCAGCGCTGCCTCCCTCCCGTCCCCACGAGTCCCTGCACGGCCACCGGGGAGAGGCGTGGGGAAGTGTTGGTGTTGACCCCAGCGCCCCTCCCCTCCACCTGCAATGAACACACACAGCAATGGTCAGTGTGCATGAAATGGCCGCAAGCACAAGTCACAGACCAGAAACTGTCTAGTCCACAAGAGGTAGGTAGGGCCGCTGGTTGAGTCGATGCCACACGCCACAGACACCAAGGGAACCTGCACCTGAGGGGGAGACCTGCACCTGAGAGGGTTACCTGCACACCTGAGGGGGTTACCTGAAGTGCGGGTGTGTGTGGCTTGTGAACCGGGCCCCAACCAGTGGCAAGATTTCAGAGTTTAAACACAGGAGCCCGTGCGAAAAAGACTTGGGAGGGCAATATGAGCAGTGAGCAGCAAGCAAGAGTGAGTCCAGGGAGGAGAAAGCACTTAGCTGGCAACTGAAGAACCGCCGAGAGCTGCTGCCTCATGTCCCCCTCCCTCCCCTCCCCTCCCCTCCCCTGCTGCACCAGTGCTCCCCGCTGCTGATGCTGCTGCAACTGGTCCAGTCAGCTGTCTCTGCTGCATTGCGAGTGACCTGGAAGGGGGCAGAACGGAAGGGAAGGCCAGGAGGGGAGTGAGTGCATGCCTTGAAACAAGCAAGGGCGAATCAGAGAGGCGAACATGAGAAGGAAACTGAGCAGAAAAGCGAGTGCAGCGGGAAAGCGAGGTAAGAGGCTCACCTTGAGAGGCCAAGCCCATCCCGATACTCTCCCGTGTGTTGAGTCTGCTGCAGGGCTGCCTCCCTCCCCTTTCCCTCCTGAATTATGGCCCCTCCCCTCCCCTCCTGAACTGGTCCCGCCAGCCGTCTCTGGAAAGGGGCAGAACGGAAGGAAGGCCAGAAGGAGAGTGAGTGCATGCCTTGAAACAGGCTAGGGCGAATCAAACGAATGAGCGCGAGAGGGCAACTTAGCAGAAAACGAGTGCAGCGGGTTACAGAGGTAAGAGGCTCACCTTGAGAGGCCAAGCCCATCCCAATACTCTCCCTTGCTGCAGTGGGATTGCCATGCTACAGCGCTGCCTCCCTCCCGTCCCCATGAGTCCCTGCATGGCCACAGGGGAGGAGCGTGGGGAAGCGTCGGTGTAGACCCCAACGCCCCTCCCCTCCACCTGCAATGCACACACACGGCGGGGGTCAGTATGCATGGCATGGGTGCAAGCACAAGCCAGAAACTGAAAAGTGCCAAAACTGGAAGGGAAGGGAGGGCCACGGGTTGAGGAAATGCCACACGCCACAGACACCAAGGGAACCTGCACCTGAGAGGGTTACCTGCACACCTGAGAGGGTTACCTGCACACCTGAGGGGATTACCTGATGTGAGGGTGTCTGTGGCATGTGAACTTCACTCAACCAGTGGCATGATTTAAAAGGGAAGGGCGAAAGCACAACCAGAAATGAAATGGCGGCAAGAAATGTACAACGTATGATGCAGCAGGCAAGGGTGAGAGAATGGAGGAGGGGGGTTACTTAACTGACGTGTGAGGACGAGATCAAGGCAGCTGCAGCACCTCCAGCTGCCTCCCTCAATGGCAGCCCTCCTCCCCGCCTTCCCGTGCGCGTCCCTGCACGGCCACAGGGGAGGGGCGTGAGGGAGCGTCGGTGTAGACCCCACACCCCTCCCCGCCACCTGCAATGCGCACACACAGAGCTAGTGAGAGCACGGTGGTGGGAGCAAGGTGAATGGGTGAATGAGCACACAGCGCAAGAGAAGAGGGAGGAGCCACTGGTGGAGGCACGGCCACAAGCTACACACCCAAGGGCACCTGAAAAAAGAACCTGAGGGGTGTACCTGCACCTGAGAGGGTTACCTACACCTGAGGGAATCACCTGAAGCAGGGAGGTCTGTAGCATGCGACCTGTGCCCAACCAGTGGCGTGTTTTCAAGAGGACGGTGCAGCAGCAGATGAAACAAAGGAAACGGTGTTGCAGGCAAGGGTGAGGGCATGGAGGAACGGGTACTTAGCTGATGGCGTGAGAGCAGGAGGCAGTTGAAGCAGCGCGGGCAGCAGGCATGGCATGGCGTCTCAGACGACCAGCAGCGCAGCTCCTGCGAGGGGGTGCTGGAAGGGGGGGAATGGGAAGGGAGGGGAGGGGAATGGAGGGGTGGGGATGGGAGGGGAGGGAGAGGCAGTGAGTGTGAGGGAGTCATGCATGCAAGCGCAGTGAATTGAAGAAGAGCGAAAGGAGGGCCACTGGTGGACGCACACTCACAAGCCACAGACTACGGTCTTTACCTAAGTGCTTTACCTGGAGATAGGCTTTACCTGGAGATAGGCTTTACCTGGGGGAGGGCTTTACCAGTAATGGGGAGGGTCTGTGGGCTGTTTCGTGTGCTGCCACCAGCGCTTTGAGAAAAACAGAAATGACGGGAAAACGAAGCGGGAATGGAAGCATGGAGGAGCGAGCACTTAGCTGATTATGTGGTGGCCGAGAGATGTTGCCTCATGTCCCCCTCCCTCCCCCCCCCTGCTGCACCAGTGCTCCCTCCCTCCCCTTCCCCTCCTGAATCATGGCGCCTCCCCTCCCCTCCCCTCCCCTCCCCTCCCCTCCCCTCCCTCCCCTGCTGCATCAGTGCTCCCCGTTGCTGGTGCTGCCGCAACTGGTCCTGCCAGCCGTCTCTGGAAAGGGGCAGAACGGAAAAGAAGGCCAGGAGGGGAGTGAATGCAGGCCTTGAAACAGGCAAGGTCGAATCAAAGGGATGAGCACGAGAGGGCAACTTAGCAGAAAACGAGTGAAGCGGCAAAGAGAGGTAAGAGGCTCACCTTGAGAGGCCAAGCCCATCCCGATACTCTCCCTCATGATGTACCTGCAGCACTGCTGCCTCCCTCCCCCCCCCACGAGTCCCTGCATGGCCACTGGGGAGGAGCGTGGGGAAGCGTCGGTGTAGACCCCACACCCCTCCCCTCCACCTGCAATGCACACAAGCAGAGGTAGTCAGTGTGCATGGCATGGGCACAACACAAGCCAGAGACCGAAAAGTGCCAAATCTGGAAGAGTAAGGGAGGGCCACGGGTTGAGGCAAGGCCACACGCCACAGACACCAAGGGAACCTGCACCTGAGAGGGTTACCTGCACACCTGAGGGGGTTACCTGCACACCTGAGGGGGTTACCTGCACACCTGAGGGGGTTACCTGAAGTGCGGGTGTCTGTGGCATGTGAACTTCACTCAACCAGTGGCATGATTTAAAAGGGAAGGGCGAAAGCACAACCAGAAAATGAAATGGCGGCAAGAAATGTACAAGTTATGATGCAGCAGGCAAGCGTGAGGGAATGGAGGAAAGTTACTTAACTGACGGTGAGGGCGAGATCAAGGCAGCTGCAGCACCTCCAGCTGCCTCCCTCAATGGCAGCCCTCCTCCCCGCCTTCCCGTGCGCGTCCCTGCATGGCCACAGGGGAGGGGCGTGAGGGAGCGTCGGTGTAGACCCCACACCCCTCCCCGCCACCTGCAATGCGCACACACAGAGCTAGTGAGAGCACGGTGGTGGGAGCAAGGTGAATGGGTGAATGAGCACACAGCGCAAGAGAAGAGGGAGGAGCCACTGGTGGAGGCACGGCCACAAGCTACAGACCCAAGGGCACCTGAAAAAGAACCTGAGGGGTGTACCTGCACCTGAGAGGGTTACCTGCACCTGAGGGAATTACCTGAAGAAGGGAGGTCTGTAGCATGCGAGCAGAGCCCAACCAGTGGCGTTGTTTCAAGAGGACGGTGCAATTGCAGATGGAATGAAGGAACCGGTGTGGCAGGCAAGGGTGAGGGCATGGAGGAACGGGTGCTTAGCTGATGACGTGAGAGCAGGAGGCAGTTGAAGCAGCGCGGGCAGCAGGCATGGCATGGCGTCTCAGGCGACCAGCAGCGCTGCTCTTGAGCTCCTGCGAGGGGGTGGTGGAACGGAGGGAAAGGGAGAGGAAGGGAGGGGAGGGGGCGGGAGGGGAGGGGAGGGAGAGGCAGTGAGTGGGAGAGTCACCATTATGGAAGGGGCGCATGCATGCAAGTGTGATGAAATAAAGAAGAGCGAAAGGAGGGCCACTGGTGGACGCACACTCACAAGCCACAGACTACGGTCTTTACCTGGAAAACGGCTTTACCTGGGGGAGGGCTTTACCAGTAATGGGGAGGGTCTGTGGGCTGTTTCGTGTGCTGCCACCAGTGGTTCCGTTTTGGGAAAAACAGAAATGACAGACAATCGAAGCGAGGATGGATGCATGGAGGAGCGAGCACTTAGCTGATTATGTGGTGGTTGTGTGCGGAGGGCAGGTGAAGAATGTGCCGGCACCACCAGGTGTTGTCTGCTGCCGCCAGTGGCTTGAGGCATGAGGAGAACGCTGATGCTGCCCCACGTCCGTCCGCCTGCCACTGCTCCTCGCGATGAGGCCTGGAAGCGGGGGAGGGGAAGGGAGGGGAGGGGAGGAGGAGGGGAGGGGGAGGAGAGGGTTGCACAAGGAGAGGCAGTGAGTGGGATGCAATGGAGGCACAGTGCGAAAGAGAATGGATGCACGCGCGGTAGAATTGAAAAAGAGCGAAAGGAGGGCCATTGGTGGACGCACACTCACAAGCCACAGACTACGGTCTTTACCAAAGGTTTTACCTGGAAAAGGCTTTACCTAAGGGAGGGCTTTACCAGTAATGGGGAGGGTCTATGGGCTGTTTCGTGTGCTGCCACCAGTGGCTCCTTTTTGGGAGAAACCGGAATGACAAGAAAACGAACCGAGGGCTGACATGGGACGTGAGCACTTAGCTGATGACTGGTCGTCGCTGCAGGCAACAGGTGAAGCCTGGGAGCCATGTACGTTGTCACCACTGCGCGTTTCTGCCATCGTGTGTTCGTCTCAGCATGGCTGACGTGCTGCCGGACCTGAAAAGTCAACAGCATAGGCATCTGTGAGATTTGAATACTTGAAACGTGTTTTATTTATGATGAACGCGCGTAAAAACGGAAAGCCATTGTGAGTTCTCGATTGTACCTTGAACCGCGAGCGGAATCGCGACCTCGCAGTGTCTGGTGCGCTTGAACCCGTCGCGAATGCAGCGGACGACGTAGATTAGTCAGCTTTGGCGGAAGTCGACGTTGGATGGCGGACGTTGACAGGTTTTCGGATGCTCAACTGCCTGTAAACACATTGAAATAAAGAAGAATCAGAAATTTATCGAAATATGCAACAAAAGGTGGCTAAAACATTAAAGGCATTACCTTTTCCGCGAGAGCACGTCGTGGTACTGTGCAATTTCGGCGTTTCAACGAAGATGCTATTTGAGGTTGGAAGTAGACCAGCTACAGCAGACATTGATAGCGGACTGACGATGTTCCATTGCCTGCGGGAGAATAATACGCACGTAAGAAATTGGCAAAAACGACGTCAAATAGACAGAAACGGCGAGCTGAAATAAAGCAGAATAATTAATTACCTGTGTCAGATTACATCGAAGCTGCGCGAAACCACCAGCGAGTCTACGGAAAAAACCTCCTGATGCGCGTGAGGCTTGTCGCTAATCGCGTGTGTAAACGAGCTGAGACAGTTGCACGGTCGAAGTGGCAATGTGCTTCATCTACGACTACGTTTGAGCACAATGTTCAAATGAATGTGCGAACGTCTAAACTGACTGGTCGAAATGTCGCTCTGTGAAACCCCTGCTCGAAACGTCGCTTCGAAAAGCCCTCGGTTAGATCGTCGTTTCACGAAAATGCCTGGCGAGATTGAAAATCCACAGCCAACCCCAAGCAAGTGAGGGGGGCTGGGGGTGTGGGGTGGGACTCGATTCTCGTGATTCGCTGGAAGGCTACCGAAAGAAGACAAAAAATGAAGGGTCCTCCTTGTTTTAGGCCGCGCGGCTCCGAAAGGGTTCGGACATTGGGGTTCGGTTTCTGGAGGGATGGCCGTTGGCAGCACAAAAGAAGGACTGATGAGCTAGATCGTCGGATTGCTTTTCTTATAAAACAGATCTAGGGATCAGATTGATCGAGTGGACGTTGTAGACTAGCGGGAAAAGCAAACCGTTAATTCGAAACAAAACACACCGACTCGCTTGGGTTTCGCGGCAGATGCCTAGCCAATGGAATGAGAGAAAGGCCAGCCGTTGGGAGGAAATGGGGTGGGATGGAGTTGGGGTTGGATGGGCTTCCCTGCTCTCTCTGCCTCTCGGGGAGAACCAAGCTGGTTGGAGTCAGGGCATGGAAAGGAAGGCCTGTTGAAGATTAGCGAAATGTTTTAACGAACCTGCTCGCTAGGGTGGAAGAATTGGGCGAAGCTGGCGAAGTCTTGTGGGCTGTAACGGATCTGTAGCCCTTTCATGCTGGATTTCGAAACTGGATTCCACGGATCCTTATCAGACGTGGATTGTCTGACCTGGCCCACTTCAATATCTACACCGCTTGGCTTTTCACAGCAAAGGAAACCATCTGATTTGTGAAATGATTTGGAAGGTTGTGACTCGAGGAAACCCCTTGCGGGTACAGGCCATGGCTCCGCAATCTGTGCCATTTTCGAGGGACCAGCTCAGCACCACGGAATGCTGGGATTGGTGTAACTTCTAGAGTGGGGCTGGGCTTCGGAATTACGCGGCACGCAATATTCATTTGCTTGGGACCGAATCAGGAATTTCACTTACCGATCGTTAACAATTGAAATCGGTTTCAAACGTTCAACAACCATCTGATCTCACATGTTCCTCAGACAGCCCCCTCCTACCTCCCTTTAGGACGCGTTGAAAGTGCAAATAACGCAGGATCGTCTGCATATATCGATCCCCACAATCGAGTGGGCAGATCGTTTGGCGAAACGTGGCGACCGCGATATCGTAACGATCGCGGCTGAAAATTGACAGATTTCCCGCGAGCAGTGATCAGTCGCATTCTCACACTGTACAGAAATTTTGGACAGAAATCGCACTGTAGCATTGTTACAACTAAGTTAATAGGGTAGCCGATCCGCACATCGATCGCTGCTGACGATTGATCGTCTACTTTCAATGCGTCCTTACCAATACAGCAAGACATGCCAATCCAGGATTTCCTGAGTGCAACGTCTGTTTTGCATGAGCTTCCGTCTTGTGTGTTCAGGATAAACAACTCATTCAGAACGCTGTAGTTTTGATTCTAGTGGCGTTTCCGCATGCATCCTTGACCCCTTAACTAGTTAGAAGATGACTGAGGCTAAGGTTACCGACTCTGAGCGAGTTGAGAAGGATAATGCTAGCAACGGAGTCACTCAAGCTGAGGCTGCGAAAACTGGAGAAGCTGAAGAACCTGCTTCTGTCAAGAAACCCGGATCATCCACGGATGCTAGTGAGGAGAGTGCGAAGAAGAAGCCATCGTCGGATCCCTTGACATCTGGTCCGCTGATGCTTATCGCGGTGCTTCTACCGGTGGTGCTGGCAGCGGGGGTGTTGATCCAACAACGGTCAACTGCAGCCGACCTCGCCCAGATGCAAACAGCCGCTCTCAGCTGGCTCGACTTCGGCGCCTTCACTGCGAAAAAGGTACGCGCAATGGAACTCGTCGTGACACGACTCATTAGCGAAAAAGCAAGTCGCGACGCACTTCGGATATTAAACATGCGCTGAATCAAACAAATGCGAGTCAACTCAGTCACTTCGTCGCGTTATTACCTCCCGTCATCCCGCTTCCAGCCTTGGAAACACTCGTCCCACCAATCCTGCTCCACACGTCCCTGTTCCCACTTCCCCCCTCCCTGACACGCACACGGCCAGCCGGTGCCAGCGGGCGAGCAGCGCATCATTCAGCTGTCGGCGTGGAAGCCGCGCGCGTATCTGTACAAGGGCTTTCTGTCGGACGCCGAGTGCGACCACCTCATCCGCCTCGCGCAGCCGCGCCTAGAACGGTGAGTGCCGCTGCCTGGCTGTAACTTAAAGTAACGCCAGTTGCGATAGTAGAGTTGAGAACATGTCATTAGCTTTTCGGAGCCTTTCCACCTCCGTCCACGGGAAGAGCATATGTTGCTCGTCATGGTCGTGTGCGATATTAAGCAATCATTCTCATGTGCAGCTGAATCGCATGGGTTGCATGCATGGCATGTGCGTTGCCTGAATATGCCATGTACGGGATGTGTGTGATGATATGTGTACTTCATGCCCCAACCTACGACGCATGCTGCATATGTGGTGCGTGTCGCATTGCGCGGCATATGGCACGAATGCTATGTGTGGGATGTGTGACATGTGTGGCACGGGTGGCATGGGGGAGCAGGTCGGAGGTGACGGACAGCGAGGACGGGCACAGCGAGGTGAGCGAGGTGCGCACGAGCAGCGGCATGTTCCTGGACAAGGGCGAGGACGCCGTGGTGCGAGCCATCGAGGACCGCATCAGCCTCTGGACCTTCCTGCCCCTCGAGAACCAGGAGTCACTGCAGGTCAGCATGCCTTGCACTTCCTCTCCCCCTTTCCCAACCCCGCCTCCTTTGCCCCTGCTGCGTGACCCACCCTCCGCCATCCACACCTTTGTAAGTGTTAATCTCTGCAACTGTAAGTGCAGCTCAGCAAGTATAGAAAGCCCGTTCGCCTCCCTCCTCCACGCCATGAATCCCCGCTTGCATCCTTCCCACTGATCCAACTCTTCCACCAGATCCTGCGGTACGGCGTGGGGCAGCAGTACGAGGCGCACCACGACTACTTTGACGACCCGGTCAACACGCAGCAGGGCGGGCACCGCTACGCCACGGTGCTCATGTACCTCAACAACGTCACTCGCGGGGGCGAGACCACGTTTCCCGAGCACAAGGACCCCACGCCCAAGGACGACTCCTGGACCGACTGCGCCAAGGGCGTGCTGGCAGGTGAGGGCCTGACCCCTGGGGAGGTGCGGGGGTTTGGTAGTATAGCACAGGGAATGGTCGCACCTAAGAACAGGCAGCAGGGCAGGCATTGCTACGCCACGGTGCTCATGTACCTTAATAACATATCACCGGGGGGAAAGACCACGCTCCGTTCCCGGAGCACAAGGACCCCACGCCCAAGGACGACTCCTGGACGGACTGCGCCAAGGGCGTGCTGGCAGGTGATGGGCTGCCCACTGGAAAGGTGCATTGGGGGAAGGGAGGGGTGGTAAAGCAGGTAAGGGCAGCACAGGAATGGACGCTGAGATGCAGTTTAAGCGCCTTAGGAGACCTTGGGGAGGGAGTGTGGCAGTTGCTCTGAGAAGCAGCACTCCAGCATGCTCTCCATATCAAATACCCGCATTCTTTCCCTTGTCTTCCCCACTCCTCCTGTTCCCCACGTGTTTGGGCGTGGCCGTGCAGTGAAGCCGGTGCGGAGCAACGCGCTGCTGTTCTACAACCTGCATTCGGAGGGGTCAGTGGACCCATGTTCTTTGGACCGCACTGAACTCCTGCATTCTTTTTCCTTTTCTTCCCCACTTGTGCAGTGAAGCCGGTGCGGGGCGACGCGCTGCTGTTCTACAACCTGCATCCGGATGGCTCAGTGGACCCCAGCAGTCTGCACCACGCGTGCCCCGTGGTTGAGGGGCAGAAGTGGTCTGCGCCCAAGTGGATCCACGCCCGCTCCTACGACTCCCCTGCACCCGGCTTCCAGACGGGAGGCCTCTGTGTCGACGCTAACGGCCTGTGAGTCTTGAGTTGATGCGAAAGTCACCCCTGCTGACCCCTCTCAGCAAAGGCACCTCTGAGAGTGTTCGCTTTAACGGCCTGTGAGTTGTTCAGTCGCGTGCTCCACCTTCCTTCCGAATTATCGTCACCCCTTACCTATCTTCCTTACGGCATTCTCCCCATCCCCGGCCCATCTCTTATTTGATGTATTTTGACTTCTCTTCGTCCAACCACGTTTTCTCGTGCTCTTGTTCCGCACGTGCCTCCTCGTTCACCCCTGCTGCATGAGTACAGGTGTGATGCGTGGGCAGCCACGGGTGAGTGCGAGAGGAACCGGCCTTACATGATTGGCACAGCTGCCAACCCCGGTGCCTGCCGCAAGGCATGTAATGCATGTGAGGACGCCACTGCTGAGTATAGTGAAGATGACTATGGCGAGGACACAGAGGCGAAATCTGGAGTTGAGGGGAAAGAGGGTGACAGTGTAAGCGCAGGCGATGCAGTGCAGTCATCATGAGGCGATGGAAGAGGAGTACTGTATGAACTGCTCGCCGGGTTGGTGCCGAATGGCAACCCAGGTTGCTGCCACTGAATTCACTGTAGAATGGTGGGCTTTATGTCACAGTGGGCTGTCCATGCGATTGTGTCGTGCAAACTATGTCCGAAAATGTAGTGAGTTATGCATGCTGAATGGAAGTTGAATGAGTACTTGTCGTGCTCGCCTCTGTACAGCTGAATTAATTCTGGATGTTGGTGCAGCTAGTCCGCATGAGCCTTGTGCTTGTTTGCCCCTTCCATATCCGTTGCTTGGCGCGGTGAGTCTAATATTTTTTCCGCTGAAGATGCTGAGTGAGTAATTCTAACATGCTGGCCTATAACTATTGGGCTTACTTCCATGGAGGTGAGACTAATTACAGACGTTTAGCACACTACTACTAAGAGTACTCGCTTGATATGTGCGGTTGTAGTTTTATGAATATCGACTCATGAATGGTTGATGTTCAATCACACGCTATTTTGAATCCAAATCACAGGGAATCACCGAGGGTCACACTCTGGTGGTTCGCCAGCCTTACATGGTCAGCAGCCAATGACATCCATTCCGCGAGCTGGGGTTGGTGGGGCCGCCGACATCCACTCAGACCGCACATACCTCCACGTCCCCTCTACCGCGGCGCTCTCGGGCTTTCCACGCACCACATGGCAGACACTCGCTTCCCAGCGAGTTTTCCCCCAAGCCGAGCCTCGAGGCTGTCAAACTTCTGACAGTATCTCCCCGAGCCAAGACATCCATGCTGCCACATCACCACCGCATTCAACTCCATCGCGATGGAGTTGAAACGGGCAGAGTTGAAACAGAAAGACGCGTCGTGGTTGGTTGAACTTTTGCTTTTTGCAGATCTTTCCACCAGCCCATCTGCATTTCGTGGTGGCTTTGAAAGCATTGCAAAACGTCCCGCCAGCCACGCGTATAGCGAAGCGAACCTGCTTCGGTTCGGGCCGTACCTCAACTTGGGGTGATCAACTGTCTCCTCTCTCCCTCGATTCTACCCACTCGGCTCCCTCTCGAGACTCTCCACCACGCCATCTGAGCCAACTCGGCTGTACAAGACTTGAATCCAGCTGCCTAATCTCTAGCCTGGAAGTAAGCTGATCGTGTTGTGACTGTTTGACTAGTGGCAGCCTCTGGTTGCCGTCATCAACACACGTCTTTCTCGGCTGCAGCGGGAACGAGTGCCATTCACTGATCAAATTGTGTTTTCGCTACATGCTCACAGTTATCCAAGTATCGACTACCATCGTTGCGTCGATAGGATTTTAGTCCCGTTTCATCGGGACAGCGTCACCGTTCTCCTTCGTGCCTATTTCCAATCTCGTCGGCGACGATGGGACTCGAATCAGGCGACGCGAAGATGGCAGATCTCATGCAGACTGTCCTGAGCACCGCCTCGGCGGATCAAGCGAAGGTCGCCAAGGAGATCTGCGACCTTATCAAGAGCAACGGCGTCAAGCTATGCGAGGTACTGACCGCCGTTTTCCCACTTTTGTTGTGTCTCTTGCAACAAGTTTATTACTCTGTTGTAGCTTCCCTGCGTACCTGGTGCTGCGGAAGCGTACAAGTGTTGCATGAAACTCAAACCCTTCAATCTCTCTTGCACCGTTCCTTTTTCATTGCTTCGATTATTGCAGTCGCACAACCTGTTCGCGAAGATCGCACAAGGGCTCGACGACACGTCTACACCCGTTGTGAAGGAGGGAGCGTTGGTGCTTGTACGCAAGCTCGCGGAGACAGTCGGCGCTCCTCTGGAGGCGCAACTGGTTGCGCTTCTCCCCACACTGCTTCTCCGAGTGGGGGACAAAGGGCCCGCCGGGGGTAACAAGTCCGCGCCTGCGGGGAGCAAAGCTGCGCCTGTGGGGAACAAAGTCGCGGCGAACAAGGTCCTGGGCGGGCCAGCAGTGAGCAAAGTTCTGGGCGCACCCGCAGCGAACAAGGTTCTGGGCGCACCAGCGGCGAACAAGGTTTTGGGCGGCCCGGCGGCGAACAAGGTCTTGGGCGGCCCGGCGGCGAACAAGGTCTTGGGCGGCCCGGCCGCGAACAAGGTTCTGGGCGCGCCGGCCGCTGGGGGGAAGGGTCTGGCGGTCTTGAACAAAGCCGCGGGTCCCGTTCTGCTGAATAAGGCTGCTGGCCCGGTCTTGCTGAACAAAGCCGCTGCGCCCGCAGCGAACGGCGCTGCGCCCGCGGGTGCACCAGAGGCGGGTACGGCCGCGCCGGCGGCGGAGAGTGCAGTGTACGAATCGGTGGGAGTTCCGCTGGCGGCGGAAGCTGCTGCGAAGGCGGTGGTGGGAATGATCTGCCCCCATGCCGTCCCTCTCGTGCTGCCAGGTGTGTTGCGGGATCAGGGGTTCAGAAATAAATGAATGAATGAATTTTCCGGGGAGTAGGATTGGGAATGGCGGCCAGTGAGCGATGAATAAGAAGAGTAAAACATTCAAAGAAACGAGTAACTCGTGCGAAATATTGTCGTCATTTCCCGAAACCTTCGCTTTGCACCCCGAACCCTTTCCCCTGCTTGTACGCATGCTTGCTCTCTTGAACCGAGAATATCACTTTACGCTGGCGTCATGCTCAGCTCACGCGAAACGCAGGAACTTATTATCTTGCACCCTGAAACTTGAACTTGACGTTCAACCCCCGCAGTGCTGGTGGAGGGCGCGCGCAACCACAAGAGCTGGAAGACGCAGGAGGCGGCGCTTCTGCTGGTGGGTCACCTGGCTCTCAACGGGCCCCGCCAGGTGGCAGCCGCGCTCCACGTCATCGTGCCTCTGCTGTCCGAGTACATGATTGAAGGCAAAGCGCAGGTGAGATGCGCGAATGCGAAGAGGTTGGCCGCGTGCATTAACACATTGGGTCCTTGTGAAACGAAGATAATCACCTGCATTGGGTACGGTTCCGAGCCCATAGTCTTGCAGCAGTGGGCATACTACGGTTTCACCAAAACCCCCTGCGTTGGGGGCGAACAAAGAAACAAGAACAATTAGAACCGAACTGAACTCTTGCATATTCTCCCTTCTCCCCCCTGAGCAGGTAATGAAGGCGGCAGCAGCGTCCATGCTGCAGTGCGCGGGCACAATCGGCAACCGCGACATTGAAGCAGCAGTGCCGTCGCTAGTGGACGCCATTCTGCACCCCACGCACGTGCCCGAGTGCGTCAACCGCCTCTCAGGCATCACGTTCGTGCAGCCCGTGCTGTCGCCCGCGCTCGCCATCATGACGCCCGTGCTCGTGCGCGGCATGAAGGAGCGCGCCGCGCTCGTCAAGCGCAAGACCGTCGTGGTTATTGAGAACGTGCTGCGATTGGTGGAGGAGCCGCGGGAGCTCGGGCCGTTCCTGCCGATGCTGATGCCGGGCGTGGAGCGGGTGAGTGTGGAGGTCGCGGATCCGGAGTGCAGGCAGACGGCGGGCAGGGTGCTGCTGACTCTGCAGGGAATGAAAGAGGAGGTGGATTCTCACCACAAGGATGCTAGCGGCAGTGGGGATGTGTGTGCCGCTGCCTTGGCCATGGCGGAAGCTGCTGCTGCGGCGAAGAAGCGCGGCAGTGGGGGCGGTGCTTCTGGTAATGGTAGTCCTGGGGCTGGGGCGGGTGCTGCTGATGCAGCAGGGTCGTTGCTAGAGAGGCACGCAGCGAACGCGGTGGTGCTGCTGGGCTTCTTAAGGAATCTGATAGCATCGGGGGCGAGGGAGGAGGTGGAGAAGGGCGGCATGCTGGTGCAAACCCTAGAGTATGTCGTCCGCATGTGCACCGTCCTCGCAGCCGGCAAGCGTTTCGAGGAATCCGACTGGGTCCGCTGCGTCGTCCCGAGCCTCGAGCCGTACCTGTCCCCCTGGGGCGAGGACACCGAGGCTGTGGCTCGGCAGTTCTGCAAGCAGGCTCGGGAGGCGCACAAGGCAGCGCGGAGCAACGACGGGTCGGGGGCAGAGGATGGGGAGGACGAGGGGGAGGACCTGTGCGACTGTGAGTTCTCCCTCGGGTACGGAGGAAAAATCCTCCTCTCCGCTACCCGCCTGTGGCTGAAGCGTGGTCGCCGGTACGGTCTCTGCGGGCACAACGGATGCGGAAAATCCACTCTCATGCGCGCCATTGCCAACGGGAAACTCGACGGGTTCCCCTCAGCCGACGTGCTGAGGACAGTGTATGTGGAGCATGACTTGGACAGCAGTGTGGTGGATAGGAGTCCTGTAGAGTATCTGCTAGAGGAGGAGGCGTTGAAGGGAAAGGTGGACGAGGCGGAGGTGGTGAGGGAGCTGGGCAAGATGGGGTTTGGGGAGGACCGGCAGCGGCAGCCCATCACCGCGCTGTCGGGCGGATGGAAGATGAAGCTCGCGCTGGCTAGAGCCATGCTCATTGGGGCGGACATATTGCTGCTCGGTGAGTCGGGGGCGAAGGGGTTGGGATTGTGAAAGAGGGGGGTGAAAGTGGGGGGCTGGGCTGTGGTTTTGTTTGGATTAGGGCGGGCGGGTTGTGAAGGCAGCTGGCCCTAGCTATGGAATTGGGCTTCGCTCATTGTTTCCCCATCTCCTCGCCCCATCTTCCCCTCTCCACCTCCACGCTTCCCCTCGTCTGCTCTCCTCTTTCGCCCGCCATACGAATCGGCAATGCACATGGCGATGAGGGCTATGCTTGTTGTTTCCGCAACCTCATCGCCCCATTCGTCCTCTGCTCCTCGTCCGCTCACCACTCCCGCATAATAGACAAGCCAACGAGCCGCATGGACAGGAGAGCTGTGCTCATTATTTCCTCGCCCCCATGCTCCTCCCCTCTTCCCCCATTCCCTCGTCCGCTGCCCTCCCCCGCTCGCCTCCAACAACAGACGAGCCGACGAACCACATGGACACGACGAACGTGGAGTGGCTGCAGCGCTACCTGACGGGGCTCAAATGGAAGGGCATTTCTGAGTGTTTTCTTGGCCCCATCATCCCGCTCATTCCCTCTTCCCCTCTTCCCTCTTCCGCTCTCCTCCTCCCCTCGTCTGCACAACAGACGAGCCGACGAACCACATGGACACGACGAACGTGGAGTGGCTGCAGCGCTACCTGACAGGGCTCAAGACGCTGTCGTGCCTCATCGTGTCGCACGACAGTGGCTTCCTGGACGCCGTGTGCACTGACATCATCCACTACGAGAAGCGCAAGTTGAAACACTACCGGGGGAACCTCTCCGCGTTCGTGAAGGTGCGCCGTTCTTGCCTTGCGCCGTTTCGAATGCACCATTTGGATTCTCCCCTCTTTCGCCCTTTGTCCCTCTTTCCTCACCTTACCCTTCCCCCGCCCTCCCCTTCTCATGCCCTCCCTCTCTTCCTACCAGGTGAACCCAGCGGGTCGTGTGTACTACGACCTGGCAGCGGCGCCGTTCAAGTACAAGCTGCCGACGCCGGGGCAGCTGGACGGCATTCGGCGCAAGGAGTCGCCCATCCTGAAGCTCACCAACGTCTCCTTCACCTACCCCGAGGCACCGGCTCCCGCGCTCTCCAACGTGCACGTGCAGTGCTCCCTGGGTAGTCGTGTGGCTGTGGTGGGCGTGAACGGCGCTGGCAAGTCGACGCTTATCAAGCTGATCACTGGAGAGAGCAAGCCCACGGTGAGTGCAATGGTGGGGGAACGGGTTTAAGCAGGACATGCAGAGGAATACAGAAAGAGGGTAAAAATGGCATCCCGAATTCCTGCCCTGTCTTCCCTGCATCGTCTTACTCCTCTTGTCCCTTCCCTTCTTACCCCAACTCTTTTATCCCCCCCTCCCTCTCTCTCTCTCACTCCTTCCCTCCCCTGCAGAGCAGCACAATCTGGCGGCATCCGAACCTGGGCATGGAATACGTGGCACAGCACGCCTTTCACCACGTGGAGAAGCATCTAGACAACGAGTACATCCGCTGGTGCACGTGGTGTGGAACAGCGCCTGTACCAATCCCTGCCGTTCCTTACTCCTATCTCTGCCCTCCGCATTCCCTTCTCCCCTCCAGGCTGGTACAATCTGGCGGCATTTGAACCTGGGCATGGCGTATGTCGCCCAGCACGCGTTCCACCACGTGGAGCAGCACCTTCACCAATCCCTGCCACTCCTCGCCTCACTCCTTTCTCTGCCCCTCCCAATCCTTCATTCCCTCCAGGCTGGTACAATTTGGCGGCATCCAAACCTGGGAATGGCGTATGTCGCGCAGCACGCGTTCCACCACGTGGAGCAGCACCTAGACAAGTCGCCCAACGAGTACATCCGCTGGCGCTTTGCACGTGGGGAGGACCGGGAGGAGCTGAACAAGGTGTTTCGCAAAATAGGCAAGGAGGAGGCGAAGAGCATGGAGGAGCTCATCATGCACAACGGGCAGCGCAAGCAGGTGGAGCAGCTGCTGTCGCGCCGCAAGTCCAAGAAGAGTTATGAATACGAGGTCAAGGTGAGTGCCACGGGGCTGGTGGTGGTGCGGGTGATGTTGGTGCTCGTGATGTGGGTGGTGTGTGTGGGTTGAGGGGGAACTGGAGCATGCAGCCAGGGATGCAACCGGGTGTGTGTCATTCTCATGGCTCGCACAAGGTAGGAAACAAGTTTGCTCGTGCCTCAGCTGCCTTGGGATTTCACATCGTGGAAAACCATTCATCTTTCCATTTTCTCCTCTCTCTCTCTCTCCTCCTTGCTCCTTTGTTCCCACTCTGCCTCCCTCCCCCCTCCATTGCTCGCCCCTTCCAGTGGGTGGGGTTGAAGCCAGTGTTCAACAGCTGGCTGTCAAGGAAGCTGTTGGAGGAGCTGGGCTTTGAGAAGCTCGTGAGGCACCTCCAAAGACAAACCATCAATGGTTCCATCGTCGATTTTCTTTTATCACTCCCTCCCCCTCTGTTCGCCCCTTCCAGTGGGTGGGGTTGAAGCCGGTGTTCAACAGCTGGCTGTCAAGGGAGCTGTTGGAGGATCTGGGCTTTGAGAAGCTCGTGCACGACGTGGACGCCAAGGAGGTGGCGCGCCTGGGCGTGTACGGCCGCCCCCTCACCATTGCGGGTGTGCAGGAGCACTTTGATAACTTCGGGCTTGATGCTGAGTTTGGCACGTATGGCCAGATCAAGAACCTCTCAGGTACACTTGATGCAATGAGCCAGTTTGATTGGTCTATTTGCTGCCCCTCTGCCCCGCAGCCTGGCTCCCTCGTTTCGAGGTTTAATTTGCTGGTTCGTCCAGCTGCTTTTTAGTAGCTGCTTGTCTCAATCACCCTTGTCACCATTTCGCTAATTTGTTTCTTCCCTCTTTCGCTCTCCCCATCCGGCGCTCGCAGGTGGGCAGAAGGTGAAGGTGGTGTTGGCAGCAGCCATGTGGAGCAACCCGCACATGATAGTGTTGGACGAGCCCACCAATTACCTCGATAGAGACTCTCTCGCTGCGCTTGTCGGCGCCATCAACGACTATGAGGGCGCCGTGGTGGTCATTTCTCACAACAAGGAGTTTTTGGCGTCGCTCACCAACGAGACATGGACTGTGGAAAACAAGATGGTTATTGCCCCTGGTAATCCTGCGTATGAGAAGGCGTTGAAGGCCGGTGGAAAAAAGAAATAGGCCAATTTGATTTATTATAACCATGCTCATGAAGAGGTTATGCTTGTATTTTGATTTATTGTTGCACCTGATTTCAAGAGTAGTGTAAATGTTACGAGTGCAATTGAGTGAACGAACGAGAATTGCACTATCGAAGCAAGAGAGTACAATGAGTGAAGGCATGAGCGAAGAAAGTATAGCGAAACTACAGTGGTAACGGTAATGGACTGTGGTTGCCGCGCGACAGGCCTGGGACTGAGGTTGGGAAAAGTGTCGAAGCGGAAGCCCGGAGCGCATTTTACCCGCCGAGCTGTGAGGTCGGGGTGCGATGTGCGAAGATGGCGGGCGGATTGTCGATGCGAGGGTTGCGAGTGGTAACGGTGCTGACTGTGGTGCTACAGTGATGTACGCGTTGAGCAGGGATGCCAAGTAAGGAAAAAGGAATTTTCCTTACACTACCCCCCACCCTAAGGAGGTCCTCCTTACGAAAGTGCGTGTACATCCCTGAAATTTCGGCTGCGCAGATACTCGGTGAGGGCGGGGTGGTTTTCGATTCTGTCCAAAGGAACCCACTTTTCGTCGGTGGGTGTACGGTCCCTCCAGCGGAGTAAGAACTTGATCCTTCGGGCTCCTCGAGGGTCGCGAACAGGGCTTTTCTTTGGATTTTCACCACTCGGATTTCCAGAGCTGTTTTCTAGAGAACTCTGAAATTCAGGGTTCATTATGAGCGTTACTCTGATTTGTCAGAGAAAACTTAACTTCTGAAAAATATACTCTGGGCACCCAGTGTACCTATTTTTCCAACTCTGAGTGTCCTCTCAAGTATTGAACCCAGGCCTTCTGCACACTTACCAAAAACGTAGACGTTGTGCTACGCGCTCACTTACAGATTTTTATGATCTTAATTGATAGACCCATCTTTGAACAATTGGCGGGGGTGGGCGGGTCGGTCGAAATGCCTATACCCTGTACAGAGAAAAGTACATCCGCCACAAATATACACTGGTCTCTCAGAGAAGCTAAATTCAGAACCCTGACAAATCAGAGAAAACTTATCCTCCAAAAAAATTACCCAGACACGTCAGAGTGACCCCCTAAAAACCACTCTGATTTTCAGAGAAACAGAGTAATTTACTCTGATAAAAAAACCCCTGGTCGCGAACTCTGTGACTCAGGATTTTCTCGGGGGTGATGATTGGTTCAGTTGGTGGTCTTGTCATGCTGGTTGGGCGATTGTGTGGCAGTTGGCTCGTGGACGGGACGTAAGGGCGAAGTAGGCTGACGTGGAATGAGGGGCTGACGTACCAGTCAGCAGGGAGGAGGAGGTGGGCGGTGACGGGTGTAAGCATATGGCTTATGCGAAATGGCCCGCAGTATCGGGGGCGGAGTTTCGGGGTGATGGGCAGTCGGAGGTTCTGAGTGTCAAGTAAAACTAAGTCGTCGGGCTGGTAAGTGACAGGTCTGCGGTGGCGGTCGGCGTTGCGATTAGCGATGATGTTCGATTTTTTTATTGCGTCTACTGCCCGGGTCCGTGCTGCTTCTAATACTTCGACGAACTGTTGTGCTCGTGGTACTCGGTTATCAGGATTCGGGGTCATGGGTACTGTTGGGTCTTGTCCGTTGTTAAGGAAATATGGTGACTGTTGGGTCGTGGCGGATGGCGAGTTGTTGTACGCGAATTCGATTAGTGGCAGTTGCTGTTCCCACGTGGTTGGGTCGTCACACGTGGCCCTGATGAGCTGTTCCATGGTCTGATTTGTTCGTTCTGTCTGTCCGTCGGTTTCGGGGTGGTATGATGAACTCAACTGCAGTCGCGTGCTGAACTGCTGCCACAGGTTCCGCCATAAGTTGCTGGTGAATTTCGTGTCGCGGTCGCTGATCATCGCGGCTGGTATCCCGTGTAGTCGAACGACGGTGGAGATGAAGAGGCGTGCTGTTTCTTTGGCTGTGATTGATTTTTTTGCAGGCTGCGAAATGTGCCATTTTCGTCAGTCGATCGACGACAACTAGGATCGCGTCGTTCCCACTCGCCCCGGCTGGTAACCGTGTGACGAAGTCCATCGTCACCTGTTGCCAAGCACGCTCTGGGGATGGTATCGTCTGCAACTGCCCCGCCGGCCGCTGTCGTGATGATTTCATGAGCTGACAAGTGGGACACGATGCCACGTGTCGTTGTACGTCGGTCAACATTTCTGGCCAGTAATAATACCGCTGCAGCTGCTGCCGTGTTTTTCTACTCCGAAATGCCCCGAGGTAACTCAGTCGTGTGCGTCCTGTAACAGTAATTCCCGTAGCAGTGTATACCCAGGCACCCAAATGCGGTCAGTCCCGGTTTTTACGTAATAGACTCCCTTTCCTGCTACGAACTGCTGCGAATTTCCTCCTGTGAAGAATGGATCCGTTTGGTACCCATGGGTGAATAGGCCTGTCAGTAGCGGGCTTCTCTGGGTGAGTAGTATTGCGTGGATCTGGGCAGTGGGGCAGGTCAGTGCGTCGTCGATGTTCGAGGCTCCCTTTTTGTAAGTAACCGTGTAGTGAAAGTTGGACTCGAGGAAATCGATCCAACGAATCTGTCGTGGGTTGAGGTGTGGCTGTGCGCAAAGGTAGTGTAGTGATTTATGGTCTGTCCGTACTGTCACGTCCGCGCCACTCAAGTAACAGCGCCATACTTTGAACGCGTGCACGATCGTAAGCATTTCGCGGTCGTGTATCAGGTAATTTTTATCGGGCGAATGCAGGTTTCGTGACTCGAATGCGATAGGCTGTAGGCCATTGCCAAAATCCTGTAGCAGTACGGCTCCAATGGCGATATCGCTTGCGTCAATAACTACTTCGAATGGGCGGTGTGGGTCGGCGATGCGCAGGACGGGCGGTGAACAGAGAACAATTTTCAGGGCAGAGAAGGTAGCATGCTCTTTCTCCCCCCACGTAAAAGCGACCCCCTTCCGCAGTAAATCCGTCAGTGGGGCAGCTAACCGTGCCATATGGGGGACGAACCGACGCGCATAATTAACGAACCCTAAAAAGCTCTGCACCTCCGTGATGTTCGTCGCGGGATGGCACGCTTTTACCGTATCCAGCTTTTTTGGGTCGATTTCAACTCCAGCCTCCGAAATAACGTGCCCCAAAAATTCTAACCTATATTGGAAGAACTCGCACTTGGAACCCTTTGTCAGTAATCTGTGCTCGTCTAAAACCTTAAACACTGCTTCCACATCTGCTAAGTGCTGCTGCTTATCCCGACTGTACACTAGGATGTCGTCGAGGTAAACTATTACACATTTATCTAAGAGCGGCCAAAATGTCTCGTTCATGGTCATCTGAAAAGTTGCCGGTGCGTTGGTCAGCCCGAATGGCATCACAGTGTACTCGAACGACCCGTACCAAGTCCTGAAAGCTGTTTTGGCACAGTCCGATGGTTCGACCCTAATCTGATGGTAACCTCCCCAAAAATCTATTTTCGAAAAAACCCGTCTTGTTCGCAGTTGGTCGATCAATTCGTCGGCGCGGGGAATGGGGTACCGCGACTTGACTGTTACACATGCGAAAGCCCCCGTCTTTTTTTGGCGTGAATAGTATCGGTACGGCGAACGGTGACGAGCTCGGTCTGATGAATTTTTTCTCTAACAGGTAATCTAACCGCTTCCTTAGTTCGTCGAGCTCGGGCTGTGTCAATCTGAATTGGCGCTGTACGGTTGGCTGTGCCCCCAGTTCTAATTCGATTCGGTGGTCATGTGCTCGCTGAGGTGGCAATCCTTACGGTAAGTCGTCGGGGAAAATCCGGGGGTATCGTTTCCACAGTTCCTATAACTCGGGCAGTACGGCTGCCAACAGTTTCTTGAAATCACTAAGCTGCTATGCTTCCTCTACTACTGCGATGTCTACTGCGTACACGTCAGCTCCAGCAGCGACACCCCGTTTCATTGTGATGGCGTTGACGTGTCCGTTGAAGACGCGGGCGACTGCCAGCGAGGTAACTCGACCCAGTTACCACTACTTTGCACTGTGCAGCTACCCGTCGTCCAGTCAATTCGCGGGTTATACCGTCGCAGCCAATCACGTCCCAGTAAAATATCGTGCCCATCCAGTGTCGTTGCGAGCCTGTGTAAACCCGAAATTTCCCCCGCAGCGGACTTTGACTCTCTTTACCTTTTCCCGTATGGCCAGTGGCGTGCCGTCGACTAAGCGTGCGTCTATGTCCGGTAAGCAACGGCTAAGTGTCAGCTGCAGTTTTTGTGCGGTTGCGGTATTAACTGAACTGTGGCTTGCTCCTCTGTCGATAAAAATCTTCACTGCTACTCCCTCTATTTTCCCGTGGATCAGTACTGGGCAATCCGTCACTGTACCCTTCTTATTCGTCTCGTCAGTAGTTGGCCCGATTCCTACTGACTTGTGGCGTTTCCCTGCTTTGAAGACTCCCTCCCCTGCTCTGCTCCGCAGCGCCTTAGCTCCTCTGGGCATTCGCTCTTGCGATGGCCCGGCCTGTTGCAAGCAAAGCAGCGCCCCTTAAACGGTGCGGCAGCTGCATTCGTCGCAACAGCGTGTACAGTGGCGTGCTCGATCGGTCCCCGAGGACGATGTCCATAGCAGGACCCAGGTCTCGGACGGCGCAAAATGTCAATTTTGTCGGCGAGCGCGAGAATCTCGTTGAAGTTGGAGAGCCCGCGTAGCATGATTTTGTGCAAGATGTCCGGCTTCAGCCCTCTGACGTAACGGTCCAGCCGCTCCGCTTCGTGCATGTAGCTGACTTGCTTGCATAATGCGAGAAACCACTCGTATAGTCTTGAACCGATCCAAGTTGCCGCCAAGTGCGCAATCTCTGACGCGCCGAAATAGAAGCCGCGATCGGCTTGAAGCGCGCCCGAAGCCCTGCGCACCACGCATCCCACGTGGTGTATTGGGCGGTCTTGTAGAATGAACTCCAGGTGACAGCTGGGCCCGTGGGCCCTTCCTCCTGCAACGGTGGCTCGTAGGCGCGTGGCGACGTCACGATGACTCGCCACCAGTCCATGGCGGGGCCC